GAAGTGTAATTGATGATGTTTCTCGACTAATCTCAGTTTTATTTCGAGGAATGATGTTAAGAGCAGCGCCAGTATCCACCAAGAAATTCAAGCCCGAGTTTCTGTCTCTAACATAAAACAAGCGACTGTTTAGGCGCCCCTCCTCAGTCGTCGCGACCTGGGGAGGGGTTACTCGTTTCCTGCTGTCTTAGAATTATGCTTAGACCAGGCGCATGGTTGCATGCACTTGGTTGAGTTGACACCAAACTTCCAGTGGTACCAACAAAACTGCCCAGATTGTCTGGACATTTGTGACCTGTTTTGTGACTTGGATCGTGGTCGTTGTGGTGACCTGCTCCTGTTTCTATGACCCATTTGCATTCTGGTGACAGCCTCAGTGAGACTCTTAACACTCGCAATGAGTCCTTCTATTACGGGGTCTTTTGCTGATTCTACTTTTTGTGTGTGATTTATTGTGCCTGATCCAGTTGGAGGACCTCTTTCCATTATTCTGTCGGCTATACGCGCTAAATGAGATAATGAGGTTTCAGGATCCTGTGCATCCAAACAGTGTTGGACGTAGCATGGGAGAGCTTGTATCCATCCTTGTTTTAGGACTGCTTCACCCACTGTGTTATCACCCACTAAGACTTGGAGGTGACGTAAAAACTGTGACGGCGACCGATCACCTAGTGTTTCACCTTGAAAAAGTCTTTGGATTCTTTGACTATCTGATAATGATAAACGGTTCATTATCTCTCGTCTTAAGATGGTGTATGGTTGTGGTGATGCTGGACTTAAAATCAAGTCACGGACTTCTTTGGCGACTGAAGGAGGAAGGATAGAACACAAGTCTCTATAGCGAATCCCTTCAGATTTGATATTGTGTCTCGTGAAATAATGCTCTAGTTGAGCAAACCACAACTCAGGATCACTACGATCAAATTCTGGAAGTCGGGATTTCGTAGTCATAACAGTGTCTATCTCCACTGGTGACAAATCCTCCAGATTATGGGTTTCTATTGAGTCTGACATGAGGTATGTGACAAATATAGCAATAAAGTTAGCACAAGAAGTGGTTACTATAACACGAATAACTAAAGATAATACGGAATAAACTAGTTATATACTCAAATTAGTTTACGGATAATCAGGTCTACTTTTACGATTAAGTAAAAAAAATGTTAATAACAGAAATGAGGTTAAATTTGTGTTCAAAAAGGGCTCACCAGTTTCGTGCCTTAAGGTAACCCTCGTGCTATTGATAGAAGAAACCAGAGAAGTAGTGAATAGGTCTTTATTTCGATCTTCGCGCAGTCACAGTGGAGCGTGGGATTATCTGTTCAGACAAACAAAGGCTCTCAACATTCAAGATAATAGGGAATATAACGCTTATGAAAAATAAGGACGTGAATGAATACTTGAACAATACTGTTTTGGCATAAGCTTGGTTGTTTGGGGTCAACTCTTAACCAACCAACCTGAGCTGTTACAGGTGCATAACTTTGGATAACATTCATTGTGATTATCTTCTTCTTTGTTTTAAAGAATGCTTTGATGATCCTGAATCCATGAGATTCCCATTCTATGAGCCTATTTCTTGCTTCTTTGGACATTAGAGCAACTCCCTGAGTGTGTGCAGTATTTCCTTCCTCGTGACCAGATTACAGTAGCAGCTCTCCTGAATCAGTCCAATGGGTTTTGCTGATTCCGAGTACTGCTAAGTTGTATCTCCTCATTTTCGTAACTATTTGACTGGTCTTCCACATTGTTCGGATGTTCTATGTACCTATATTAATGGTTTCTCTGGATATTAGAAGGGTCATCGGCCTCGTGACTTCCGAAGAATCTGAGCTTTCATCATGAGGTGTCATAATTCTTCATTCAACCTGGAGGGGAGAGTTTAAATTATTTAATCTGGTTAGCGCTTTTTAACAAGGTTGTTTTCTACGGGACGAGGTTGCCGACTCGATGTCCAACCCTCCTCCTTCACCTGGTTTTGGGAAATGCAGCAACTCTAGAAGAGCTACAGACGGAATAATATGGAGGACAAGTCAGTAGGAGCTCTTTCGAATCTATCCTTTGCTGTCCATGGTCAGACCAATGGGTTCCGCTTATTCCGAGTACTGTCAAATTTTATCTCCTCATTTCCTTTGTTATTTCACTGGTAGTTCAATATGCCTAATCTTTTGCTAGCCACGATCTGTTTTCAACCATTTGAATGAGATTTTTTTGACAAATCGTTTGGATCCGTTTTATATTAATCTAATCATCCCAAGCAACCTATGTTTGTGTTTCTGCATGAGGTTGAAGAAAACACTTGTGATCAGTTTGAGACGCAGAGTTGAAGAGGTTGTAGTGGAATTAGGCACTAACCACACAATCCCCAAAGCTAAACACGAGACAACTAGTAAGATATATATTAAATGTGCAGAAAAATCCAATGATGGAGAAGACTGGCAGAATAAATTCAAATTCGGCAACGGCATGCCTCGGCCGTGCAGTTGTGGTCATGCTTGCGTAACTGCTCACTTTTATTCACACTAAATATATTGTTCTATCTCCTTCCTAAAAGATGTTTTTCATCACATATTGGTGATTGTTACGATACGATGGATCAATGTGGGCAATGATGTGACTCCCATGTAAGTTCTCATACACTAGGCAGTTACATCACGACAAATCTACAATTTTGGGATTAGGTCTATAATTGGAGCAGTACTAACAACGAAGTAGACCATAATTTTACAATGTTACAGAAACGTTATTTTTAACGTCGCCGCATAGAGTAATCTGTTAATTATTTACCCAAAATCAAATCAGAAGTCAGTGATGATATATATTTTTAGCATAGTTCCATCTATCGTAGCGTACGGAATCTAAGCTGACTAGTTGATACACGAGCTACGCAATTTAGCGTACCCGCGCAGGATCTGATGTGGATGTTTGACCGAGCGCTTCTACGTAGTGGTCTGTTCAGTCAGACATATAATGTCCGCATCAATGTTGGAGATTCACAGAGCTATTCATTGTCCGAATTCCTTTACGTCTGTAAACTAATTGTTAGTACATGAGACTGTACACAGTAAGTCCTTAAATTGAGCAGAGGATAGGAATCCAAACCCATTTGCTGTTGAGTTTCTTTTACAACTGAATTATCTTGTTTTCATCTTACAAATGAAGTTGAAGCAAGAATGACGGAACTTAACCGCTACATCATCAGGTTACTGATGTTAGCGAAACAATTGAAACGGGGCACAAAGTTGATATTGATACAGCTTTTAAAACGTTGTTTCTTTTCTGTTACGTTAATAAAATAAATATCCATACCTTTGTGAATCTCATGATAGTGTGACTTGTTGAGTCATCAGTTGTGAACACAACTTTAAGTCTGTACGTTTATATTTCGTGACATCTTAGTAGTTTCTGATGATCCACTTCTTGCTAAGAATAGCCTAATTTCACACTGCCTGTTTTCGTTTTGCAACTATTACACAAGAATATTTCTCAGTACTTCCCTCCATTTCTTGTTAATCTACTGTTTTGTCGTATTCGAAAACTGTGTTGTAACAAATATATTTTGAAACGAATATCCGCATAAATTCTTAGGCGACAATAATGTAAATAAGTCACTAAATCAAACTCGAACCTAACAGTGTCTCCTACACATAGTGAGCTTTTTAAGGTAAAATAACTGTTACAGCTCATCCTTATAAGTGGCTTCAAATGGCTTCCGCAGATGCCGTTGAGTCGGATGGGCAATAATGTGGACAAGCCATGTATTCTGGCCTACAATCGATGCTTTTCATTTATGCCACTTGACAACCAGTTACAACTCATTAGGATGTAACTGCCTAAATTAGGTAATAGTACGTTGAGGCAACATTACCAAATGATTTCTTTAAATGTCCCACTCAGATCCAGTGATCTGGCTGTCAGGCTCTCAAAACACATCTTAAGCACAAAATGTTGACATCAGATTAACATGGTGTAACCATTAATGTCCAAATCATGTCTCCCCACAATGTTGGTTAATCAGCCGACGATGTTCATGTTAGTCGATCAACGACTTGCCACCGGGCAACTATTTTCTTGAGGTTGGGATACTTGGACTGAGGAATTGTCCGTCCAACAACTCTACAATCTCATCAAGTTTACTACCACCAGACGAGCCCTCCACATGTTTGGACAGGAATGTGCTTGCCTGACGGACTGTGGTGATAATACAGATGGTGAAAATGTGGTCACATTCCCACAAACGCCAAATACAGCCTGGCAAGTATTATCACTGGAAGTTAGAAATTCGAATGAACGATGAGTAATGTTAGTGACTGCGAACCCTGGTGGTCGGATGAGCTTTTCCTTTATCTTATCAATGGGTGAACCCAGAAAGCATGGTAACTGAACTTAGCATACTAAGACTCGTATATATGATATTACAGGACTGCATAAAACCCAGTTCTTCGGTATGAAGATTATAAAACTACGAAAGATCTAACAGATTATCCTACTAACACTGGTAGATGAAGGTTGGCAGAATGCTGAGTCTGCAAGACATACTATTTTAAAGTGATCACGCTAGTAACTAACAATTAGCAGCAGCACCAAGAATTATTATCAAGAAACTGTATCTCAACTTTACAAGAGAACCACGTCTTCAATTCCTTACTCTAAAGTTTGGATTAATTCGCAAGGGATTGACAAGACTCCTATTGAAAGGTTTGATCAGGTACATACCTAGAATCGATTAGCATTAAGAATATGCTGGAAATTGTTCACCTTTCGTAATTTGGAATCTTGAGTAGTCCTATGAATTCAGTCAGTATATTCCACAAACTGCAATGAATGAATTTACAAACCTGCTCACTTATTTTGATTATTGTACAGGACGGTATATAAAACCAAGACAAAAATCATAATGAACACGAATCGGTGATAGATATTTTTAATCCCTGAATGAAATAAACACACTGTATAAAAAGCAACCCAAAAATAAAAAGCTTTATTCTAGTAGAAGATGATCATGACGACACGGTAGTTGTGTACACAAGCTTTTTGCCAATAGGAATAAAATCACTACCAATCTTCAGAGTTATGATGGATGATGCATCGACTACAAAACGAGCTGTTGGCTGGACAATTTGTAGAGCTTCCATAGGGTAAGGAGGAACGCGTAAATGTCCGCATGTAGGATCGGTAAAACGGTACAATGTTATGCTTTTTAAGTCTTTAAGTAAAGAGAAAACAGGAAAAACACAAATCAGAAATTAGACTGGAGTAAATAAGAGGAAAGTTGTATTCACAGAATAAGTCACTTCGTTTAAGCAGCTGAATAAATTCCAATTGACTCCAACAATTGCTGGAGTGGTGGTTATATATAATATAAATCAAAGATTTATGTTTATTTATTTTTTCAGCATCTAAAAATCAAGGACAAACTATAGTTTGACGCGGACAGACATTAGGTCTCTGCTAACAGACAGCTGATCAGAGCAATGAATAAGTAGTAATGAAGATTCGAATCAATTGTTTAATAAATGGGAAATGATTTATACGTGAGATAGTTACGTGGAATATTATGAGTATTTTTGTACATGAGATCACTTTATATATATATATATATATATATATATATATATATATATAGGAAGGAGTTGTGAAAAAAACTTGAGGAGCTATCCACAAGGAGAATAGTCTGTGTATTTTTGATGAGTGTTTATTGGTCAGTTTGAAGCAGTAATAATACTTAATACTCCGACTTCAAAGCTTTAATTTGACTCAAGAACTTTCTAAACTTTTTACAAATTACAGTTAATTGGCTAAAAGTGGGTTACTTGACTTTATGATGAAAATGACCCAGCTGTGTGTGCGCTATGATTTTTTATATGTAGTGCATCATGATTTAATATGTAGAATACATAATGAGATAAGCTGAGTATAAAACATACGAATGTGCTTTTGATCATTTATCTGATGCCCTTACTGGTGTGTTGAGAAAGTGACAACTTTTCGAGGGCTATCAATAGTGAAGAATACAATATCCAAGATTTTAAACTCAGCTATTTCATAATAGGTTTGACTATGTACTTCTTGATATAACTAATACACAATATATACTCTTGATGTGGTTTTGAAATTATAACTGAATCAAATTACGAAAAGTCAGGAATTTGAATAATTCAGATAAAATTCAAAAAACGTTTACCTTTACTGTTTAACGCAAGTGAACGACAGTGAGTGACTACACGTGAGACCACATCGGTATATGTGTCGCCGTCAAAAATAGTAACACCATTAAGTGTAAAGAAACCTGAACCAATATCCGGATTTAAAAACGTCATGGATGCTGAGGTAGATGGTTCACAAAACAAAATAAGAGGCTCTAAAGGACAAACACTTTCTTCAATACGACTATCATTAGAATCACATGAGTAGTTGATCTAAAAAATAATAGTAATCGACCGTGACAATTATTAGGTTTAAATTTTAAAAGGCAACTGACGAAAAATTTGATGAAAGATTCGGCTCACTATAATTGGAATCCATAATAATTCAAAGATTAAATTAAATTTATATACACGTTCGACATTAACATTTTAATACACTATAATTGAATGTTACGAATAATTTATGTTTATTGATATGTGATGCTTTTTAGCTTATGAAGAGATGAGAGAGTTCACATAGATAAATATATGGTAAATTATCTATCAAGAAGCAGTTACGGCTGTACACTCACGCCGCAAAAATGAAAAATAATAAATTATTAAGTGAATACCCATACGGTGAAAACTGTTATAAATCACTTTTGGAAACTGTTGACATTGGATTCAAACCTAAGGAATACTCTAAGAGCGTTTTATCAGCGTCAATTCCATACACCAATAAAAATTAAAGATAATAATGCGTTTTTCGTGTTAGGATTTAGTTAATTTTTTATTTTAAAGATATTGTGAATCCAATACCGACAGAATTAATGTGATCAGCCCATTAAATTTTTAATCGCTGACTAGTATTTTAAAGCTGTTCCGGCAAAAACCATTCACTTTTAGAATCCAGTGAGTAGGTTTAGGATCATTATATGCTTTAAATTCAAGTTGTAAACCCAAAGCCAATAGTTATATCAAGCGAGTAATTAACAAAAGAACAGTTAGATAACCTAATCTCCTATGCCTGTATTCTTTTGATAATTCATGTCTAATTCTTAACTTTAGTCAATCTTTCAAGTGTTAATTTGGAAACGATAGTTTTGATAAGTTGTTTTTTAAACGAAAAATGGAACTGGGTAATACCAGAGGAAGTAAAACAATACATGTTTAATCATGAGGTTACAAAAAGTAACTAATTTATGATGAAGACATCATATTAAGTATATATTCATGGAAAAGTGACTGATTTGTAAAGTTGAGTTGGAAATAACCAGGCAAAAAAGTAAACAATGACAGGTTAAAGGCCAAAAATAACCAATCAAGATCGAGGTCTACACGACAAGTTGTGTGCTCACGTGGGGAGATTCGAACTCTTCACTTCTAGATCAAGTTTGTGAGGATGTCAATCAGAAGAACGATGAAAACTTCACGAACAAACCATGTAGCCCAGAGAAAAAAACTCCACCATAGCCAAGCAAAAGAATATCCTTCTCACTTGTTTCCCTTTTGAATGTCTACTTAAGTTCGGTTGTTAACACAGCCAACACCATCCACGATAAAAACGGTATTGCTAATGTGTTTTAAATCTTTGTTCATTCACTTTAATGGCTAATTATTTACTCTAAACATAAAAGCTTTGAAGCCACTTTCTTTTGACGTGTTTCCGAGATAATGCAAAACCTGCGCAACTATGAAAGCATTAACGCAGTATTATTAAGTTAAAATTATGAAATATCCAAGTGGTACAAGGTGTGAAACGATTTTCCGGCTGAAAGTGACTTGATCAGTTGATCTGAAATTATCCACTGATATTATTATTAATAGTTGTTCTATAATTAATTTTGATAATTTGGTTTGACGTATTGCATTAAAAGCTTTTGTTTGAAATGAAAGGACCTAAATGTATGCAATTTTTCGTTTATTATTACTGAACTAAGTGAAATGAAATTTCTGAGAATGAGTAACAAAAAAAATTGACATCAACTAATCAAAAATCCGTTCAGCTGAATTTATTACATCAAAATATTCTATAATTAAAAATAATTGTATTTAAGTTTACATGTGTTACACCGGGACATAAATGAAATACTTAAATTGATGGGATCACCACTATATAAAAAACGAGGGAAATTTCTAGAAAAAACTATGAAGGACAAGGTGTTCAAGTGAAATCTATTTGATGTAATCCAAAACTGTTTAGAGGAACAACAGAAAATAATCGAAAAATCATCAGCACAGATTGATATTTTACCATAAAACATGTCAGAATATACTTACTTTTAAACCATCAGGTTGTCGTAAACCCAAAGTTGATATAAGATAGGATAAATTCTTTTTAATTACTTCGCATTCATCTACCTCCAACTGAAGTTGAAGAACTCGTTTACCGTGAATTACAAACCGTTCCCGGACTAACTGTACAAATGGCATAGCACGTTTTGCCATTTTACCCATAGCCTTTAGATGAGGACGTAAAAGTTGAGCTAACGTTGCATTATCTGCTAACGTTTTACCATCGTCAGAAAGATTAGCTGCCATAATTTCAAGAATTTGTGCCTAAAAAAGTTAGTAATAGTGAGTAACAAAATAGAAAAAGATTACAGTAAATATATATTTCACTCAACTTTCAAGCATATATTTGGAGAGAAAAATGTATTACGAATGAGAATCAGTCGTTTGAAAAGAGAAAAAGCAGTTGTACAAATTTGAGGGCTATGAACGGTATCATATGATCCAACTTAATAAACTAAGAAAACATGATGAATCGGGATCAAGAAATACCTGCCATGCTGGATAAGCTTTAGCAACCCAAACAACAGCATCCGAAGGTGGAATAAACTGAGTAACAGAATGGGATCCAACAGATTTACTACTTTTGAACGACTTTGATGATTGGTATTGTTTTAGTTGTAATCTAAAAGTATGAGCTGTATCATCTATGTAACGACCTAATTAGGAAAAAAAATAAAACAAGAATGAATAGAAAAACATCCACCGAAAAATTTAATTATTCACAGTTTTTGAAATCATGAGTCAGTTGAAGCTAGACCACCATTGAAAACCTGGAAGCACTGGACGGCCGTTTCGTCCTGGTATGGGACTCCTCAGCAGTGCGCATCCACGATCCCGCACCACCCGGGGCTCGAACCCAGGACATACTGGCTTCGCGCGCGAGCACTTAACCACTAGACCACTGAGCCGGCATCCAACGGTGTTAATGTCTAACTTCAACCAATTCTAAAATTCTCCACAAAACCCATTCTGATAATTTAATTATTCTTGAGAAATAGTAACCAAACAAACTTAACGTTAGACCACATTTTTATATGAAAATTCAACACCAAATGATCCATTAGTAGTACCCTGTGTAATTTCTAGTCATTAGCGCTGGTTGAATGCTATCGATTAGGTTGTAATGTGATCATTAGGCCAAATAATCCAACACTGCGTGCACTATACTTTGATGGAAGGAGACAGTGAGAAACAGGGACTTAAAACTTCTGTTACTTAGAGTTCGAAAAGTGTACGCAAATGTTAGCTCAGTCAGACAAATAGCAACATTGCAACCATGTTGATAGAATTTGAGCAGGATTAGTGAATATAGAACGTGAAACTGGTTATCACTAAGTGAAACTCAACAGAATATTGGCCATGAACCGAACAAGTCAGTGGTAACGTCTCTGAATAGATAACTGAGTAAACAAGGATTCGAGTTCCAAAGAAGAATGTCAGTTTTCTCAAGATGTAGAGGACTTTAAGTTAGAGAGTGGTATTTAGCACAAAACCTAGGTTTGGACACTCGTGTTTAAATCTTCTAACAATGTTTGAGGGTGAAATACGCACTCTGACTTAAGAAATATATCAAACAAGTTATCTGTATGTCAACTATTAGTTAATGATGACGCACTTATTCTCAAAGTACTAACCACATTTTAAAAGCACGATTAGTAAACATGAACGGAATTAACAAATCAAACTACATTCAATAAGTGATTCTTACCTTGTAACAAAAGTATTCGATCTACTGGACAACTAAGCTCGGGCCACTTTTCACAAAAGATTGATGTCTTGTTGTTTAACAAATTAATCCATATGTGTTCACAAACATGTGAACAAATTGGACTAAGTAGTAGTAATTGAATATTCATATAACGTCGAATTAGATTAGTATGTACACTGCCTTGACAAACTTCACGATAACGGTCACGATGTGCCTGTATAAATATCCGAGAATAAAATGATACTGTGAAATGAATTAAAAAGTAATATGACGGTTAAAGGAAAGAGAATAAAAATTCATATATTGACAGAACGTTAGCACTTTAAGTTCTGATTGTTACCACATAAGCTGATGTTTAAGAGAATATTCTTTGCCTAAGCGAGTAGTAAGATGACTTGGATACTGTTCACAGAAATATGAATCATGATATTCAACTGTAGTTAAAGTTTTTAAAACCGACTAAATATTGTACTTAATAACAATCAGTCACTGTTCAAAAGACAAATAGCTAATTAAGATAAGTATCTATTGCAAGTTGGCTGACATTAACAACAAATTTGATGACCGAGTAAGTTGACCTTATACTATTAAGTTGGAATACAAGTAATAAAAATTCAATACATTAGATATCCATAGTATTTGAGCTGGTCATATATAAATTAGAAAGCATTAAACTTGTAATTAGAAAGCGAACAGATTACATTCTGAAATCAGATTGGTGTAAGATTAAAAAACTATTCATTTAAAGCATACCAAATTTGTGAAAGTTGCTACGGTAACGATTTACGATACATTTATATCTTGTTAACATAAAAATATAAACCGCAAAATAATTTATATTGACTTCTTAATTGAGAAACCATATTTCACCAAAGCTTATACTATGATGATTAAAAGCAAAAGTGATTTTTTAGTAAAAAGTATCTTTAGTTACCTGAAGTTCATAAAATACAATTTTAAGTACTTCTCTGTATTCATGTGAAGCGTATGCTTTATCGGCCAATTCAATCGTATTATTCATTTCACTATGAATAAAAAATTTAAAAATAAATTTTACTCAGAAGTAAATAAAGAGGAAACTCAATGACAATTGTACCGTTCACTTAAAAAAAGTCAGTTAGTCACTATAAATGATAAGTGTAAATTTGTAAAACTTAAGTATGTTAAAGATATGATCAATCATGAGTAATAAAAAGCCAATGTTATTCATCTAATCTATTTCGAATGGAAGCCGTACTCGTTGCTGGACTTGGGGTAGAGCAGTAATGCCTGAAGCCAACCTAAACACCACATTGCCTTACGATCAATTAACCGCAGGCTTCGGTGTTGGGCTAATCCCTGTTCACTCGCAGTAACTAGGGGAATCCTTGTTAGTTTCGAATGATCAGAAAGATAATACTAAATATTGAACTATTAAGAATTGAAGATTAAATGAACTGTAATTCAAGAAAAAGAACATGAAAACTACTGTAATAATCAGACTTTTTTAAAAAATTTAAAAATGAATTCATAACTCATTAAAAACTAAATAAAGCGTACTTTTCAAAAACAAAATCTGCATGCATTGTATAAGCACCTGTTCGATAATCAGATTTTTGTTGTAAACTTGAATCATTTAAAATCTCCAATGTCATATTAAACCAATCCAAAAGGCCATATAAACGTAAAAGTCCAGCTTCAGCCATCTCTTCTTTTATATTAGCATCGTCTAACGAATCACCAGCATCAGCCAAAGCAAGACGAACACCTTATTGGAAAGAAAGAAAAAATAAGTGCAGAATAAACAGTAAATAGATTTTATAAAAAGTAGATGAATTTTTGTGTTTTTCTACATACGTATACGATTTGTTAGTATTTTATAAGGAATACAGAAAGTACATGCGTATTTAACTATTCAACAAAGGAAGTATTATAAGCAAAGATGGATAGTGGCTAGCAGTGGAATCCAGGACGCGCGTTTCGTCCTGTTTGGGACTCGTCAGCTGGATGTACCTGCATCTCAGAGTTGATGTTCACTCTGGGACTCGAACTCAGTACTGTTCGCTTCAAACGCCATCGCGTTATCCACTTAGCTACTGAATCCTGATAGCCACTTGCTTGTGCAATGGGTTGAAGTTGAATTCACTTGATAAAAAAAAACCAATGGGAAAATTCAAGTAAAACAATATCAAGTGAAAGGAAGTATTGTTTCCAATATACAGTAGCACTTAAAACATCAGTTCAAATTACTGAATATTGACTCTTACAATAGAAATGCTATAGATATGTTGATACACTACCGTTGATGAAGAATTTATGTTTTTTTCCTAAATATTTTGTCGGTTAATTAAATAAGCGAAAACAATTGTTTGTCTTCAAGACCCATTGAATTATATATATTATGAGGTACATTTTCTTAAAAGAAAAAAAAACTAAGAATATAATAAGCGACCATTGACTGACCATCAATTTTATGATATAACATAACTTTTAAGTCAACTAAACTAAATACTCCATGGAAAAACAAAGACACATCAGGATAATACAGTCTGTGAAGACAACCAGCTTGAAACAAGGTTATGACAATGAATTTACTTAATACTTATGAAGGAATCAAATTCATCATTACTATTTAAGTAGACGCTGATTACGTTGTTTAGAACGATAACAAAGCTTTTCAGTTGTACTATCCATCTAAAAAAACTCGACATTAAAAACACTCGATAATTATTTGATAAAAATACAAAAAGTATAATTAAAATATCACATCTCACAACTAAATCAACTTATTTTTATTAAAGTTGAGAAAATAGTAAATTTCCAACAACAAAAACAATAATAATCCAGATTACTTACCATCAGCTGAGTACTTTTCCACAGCATCTGCTAAAGTGAGAAAATTACCAGTTGATTTTGACATCTGTATGAAACAAAATTAAGATCAGTGGTCAATGTTATATTATATAATTAAACATAAAATAAGTAATTCTCCAACTATTTTACAAGAATATGTGAACAAATAGAATCCAATAAACATGAATCAGTTAAAATGAGTGATTTAGCATTAGTCAGTCAGTAACAACGTAGAACTTCGTACGTACGTACATCAGTTCGAGTTGCCACACCACATTAGCACAGAGATGCAGTGGTCGATTCAAATCCCGTAGTGGTAGAGGTGGTAGAAGTATAAGCAGTAATTGGAAAGATTAAGATGTGATGTTATTCAAGGAGTATAATCCAGTGAAATCAACTTGGAAAGAGGAAAAAAAGGGACATGAAGAATTGATAAGATAAGAATTCGGGAGAACACAGAGTGAATGCACCTGCGCCATTACAAACGAATTTCAGTCATGTCATTCAGGGTCTCTAACCATCGGTTGCTATCATCTCGCGATCCCCAACCAGGTAGTATATACCTAACAACATGGCTCAGTCCACTTGTCAGTGATTTCATGGACTTGTGCCATGTTTTGATCTGGCCGCCCCTAGCTTTCTTCCAACCTACTACTACACCAGAAAACATCGCACGTCGGGGCAGTCTGTGGTTGGGCATATGTAACACGTGTTCCAGCTTCATTTAGCTTTAACTACTAAATGACAAATTCTAAAGCGTCAAACAAAAAAATAAGATCTGTACGCTATTGATGTTTGACAGAATTTATCTACCCTAACATTTCATACTATTTTACTGGAACTTTTCTTGTTATCAAATTTCACTAATGTGATTAATATATACACAAATATTAGATAATTGTTAAACCTTGAACTAATGACAGTATAACAAACATTGCTAACCTTAAAAACTACGAAGTATAAAAAGTCAATTACCTTATTAGAGTTCAATAACAAATGGCCATTGGCACGTATACTTCGAGGCCATAAATTTGGTTCATTTGGCCATATAGCAATGTGATTGTATAAGTAGTAGGTTAAATGATTGGAGATAAGGTCCTTTCCGCTAACTCTTAAATCAACTGGATACCAGAAAAGAAATTCTTGACGAAGTCTCTTCAACACTGGTACACTTAGAGAGGAATGACTTTTCGTTTCGACTAAATCCTCTGGATTTCCTATTCCTAAAAATATGTAATCCCACACTTCTGGTGTCATGTGTTCTGGCCTTAAGAAAAAGATAAAAATCATATTTAAAGGAATGTAACTTAAGCATGTATACATATATATCGACAAAAACTTAAGCTATGAAAACAGAAACAAGAAATCCTGTCGAAAATCTGAAATGACTTCTTCCTGTTCAAATACTTTGTTACTGTTTGAAATAATCGACTTTAAACATTGGGTACACTGGGTTTGAAAGGCATTTCAGCTACTTCAGTTTCAACAATCAAATATCCAGCTGTTATGCAACATAGCTTAAAGTCGAATAGATGAATTCGTAAATGGTACATAAGTTGAATTTAGTTGCACTGAATGCATCATGGGAAACTAATGTTACATGAGAATGCATCATTAAAACATTTAATTTTGTCTATTTATTATTCACTGAAAAATTGTTAGCGGTACAATTCCAAATTTCAGTTATAGTTAAACATTAAACAAACAGCGTTCATATGTAAAGAGTAACTTATTCTGTACTATTCCTAAATGCTTTTTTATATGGTTACTCGTTTGATCAGTAAAAAAAATCTTTTTGTAACAAAAATTTACAAATTAAATAAAAGAAAATTTTGAAAATTTGGGAATGTTTTTGAAGTAACAGAAAAAAATTCATGAGTCCACTTTTGTTCTTCTATTCAAAAATATAAATCTTCATCAGAGAAATGAATACACAAAAATGTCATCTTGAAAAAATTTAGTTTTATGGACAAATTATTAAATATTACTTTATTTTGTCTTAATATATACAAGTTTAACAGCAAATTTCAGCATATTTTAACAAAGTTGTTTGAGTTAAGCAGTATCTTAGATTGTCTGTAGCTTTGTTTATCATGATTTAACTTTGCAATATTAATAAATATATTAGAAAATGCAATAACCATTTTGAATTTTCGCCGGTTAGATAGGAGTTCAGATTCTAAATTCTGTAGCCACATATTTTCGAAGTTAAATTATTTTACTTAAACCAACGGACTGTTACACATATAACACAGAATTACCAAATATTTATTTTGCACTATCGCCCGAAAATTATGTATTTTTGTTCTGTACTTTATAATCTCAACAAAAACATTTGCTACATTTAACTCATTCTATAAAAGCCAAGAGCAGAAGAACTGAAATAGGTGTGATAATCAAGTAAACAAAACGAGGGTGTACTTGTTAGTCCAACCAACAAAAGATTAAAAAAAGATAGGAATACCAACAAAATATCACCTAAACTAAGGTTAAAATTATTTCTGGGGAGAAATAACAATGAATAAACACAAACAAAAGTGCAGTAACTATTCAACTGACCAAATTTTAAGAGGACCAGGTTTTCTACCATCTAATGACCCGCCCTGTAACAAATGAGCTATTGTATAATATGCCATATATATTGTAGAGTCAGATAAAGATTCAATAAGCCATTTATCATCCCATGGTAAACGAGTACCCAAACCATATGTACGAGAGCAAGCATGTTCATGTAACCAGTCAACGGTTGAATAAAGACCGCGTCTAACCTAAATAAAAAAGTAATGAAACCGCATGCCATTATTAAAAAGAATAAGAATGAATCCAACATAAAATGAAGCTAAAAAATTTCAAAACACAACACGTTCACACGTTTGCAATTAACCAATAAGACTGTGAGTGAATACATTTACAACTACAACGAACAAACATACAGAAATATCTGTTTGTCAGTGTAGATCGAATTTTACACACTGGAAAAAGTACCTTACTTTTTGTTTTTGATAAGAGTCTTTCTTGAGTGATATAAGCTTAAACCTATGAGAACAAATCTTAAATATATGTTGATATAGTCTCCCTAAACTAAAATACAAAATGAATAAAATATATAATCTAAACATTTTAAACAGTAAATATTGACCGATTTGTTGTTTGTTTCTAATGTATTCAAACAATTTTGCACATTCAATTGAACTATAACTAAACTAATTAGAATGAAATTAAAAAAATATGAAAATTATAAAGTACTCTATACAAAATTACAATGAATAAAAGGAACAATGTGTATTACCAATAAGTGACAGATAAATGAATTCATTAATTACACACAGAGGTCAATACCATATAGAAATTTTACCAAATATAACGTATTTTCTAAACTACTATCAGAAATAATTTTGAATTTTGAGGGTAAACCAAGGTCACTAAAACTAATGTATAGGAAAGTAATACACATTCCTACTCGTAAACTTATTGATAGTTTAAAATAAATCAGTTTTTTGAATATTATATACATACAAATACTTCTAGAACTGGTAATATCATTGATCGCACAGTTATTTTTGTATTTTTTCTCCCAAAACTTTATTTTGTCACGTTTCGTCCAATTAAATGACTATTTTTGAAATGATAATAATTGGTTCGTTATTACTGAAAACTGATATAAAAGGTGAATATTTTTCGATTGATCAACTATCCTCGAAATTATAAACGAAAATAACGTATAAAGTACAAGCCCTGTACTTTTGAACGTTGTCACGGGCACGGAAAACGCGCTCTTGAATACATTGAAAAAGGATTGCCATGCCGTCATGGTTTGGCCTACTATACACGCACATTAATACAGGAGACACATATAATTTCAATAGTATAATAAGATGAAGATTGTCAGAACTAGATGATACATTAGCGCAATACATTTCAAACAATCTGATCACACACATACTTGTTAAGAAGAATGACCAGCTTCCCATCTTAGATATACCTCTAACTAGACCAGAAGATGGCCCAATCCAACGATGTGTGTTAATCTTAGATATAATTATAGTGGATTTCATATTCACACACTTGTGAAACCCCCGATGATGATACAAAAGCATACAGTGCATAGTTTTCAAATAAATTAATTATGCCGAGTTAATCTTTCTGTGTCAAAAAGGTGAGACACAACGCATCATCTTTATGTACAATAACATAAACTTTACAAAAAATAAACTCGTCGTGATACTAATCTTACGACAATATATTATTAGAGATACAATATTACGATATTACCTCATCGGTTGCTGACACGTTAGCTACCGCTTTACGGACTTCTGTTTTCCATTCCTCTGAGCCGTAATCTAGATACCATTGATCACACAAAGCAACCACTGCTTCATCACCACCACGTGTAACGACTAGATTTTCCGGCTCGTAATAAATTATAGCTTCATTCTAATACAAATGGATTTATAAGCAAAAAAGCACAACGCTGTATAATTGACAGAACTTACATTACGATATTTATGGCAAACAATTTGACAGATAGAATGCTATCAAATCTAAATAATTCAGTCTTTTATCCGAAGTGAATACTTGTTTAAAATAATTTCAAATTTGGGAGTTCTGTTTAAACGTTTGAATGAGACAGTAACAACTCTTCGGACTCTTAGGTTTAATCGTAAGTAACAGTTCAAGAAATGTTTATGTAAAGTAAGTTAGTGAAATATATTTTAAAGAAAGGTATAATAGAAATTAAGCTAACTGGAATAACCGAGTTTAACAAGTTTGCTTTCGATATTCTTACTTGTACACTTTATCCTAACTCGGACTTTTTTCCTTAGAATTTTTGAGTGCACAAGGTTGGCTTACAATTAATGAAGCTCACTGAAAAACATATCATTGGTTAATCTACAAGTAATTATGAGATGATGGGAATCTGAAGTTGAACCGAGAGGTCTTGAATGATTTAGTCGATTAAGCTGTCAATCCCGGACAACATGACACTCCCAATAAATAAAATTATATAACTACAGATGAACTACCAAACTTAGTAATCACAGTAAATGGCAAGTCAATTCACGACACTATTTTTTTATTTTACTCCATATATAGTAACTAAGACAGAAATTAGTACAACAGATTGACAATTCAGTATTCTAATTTAGTTGCAGCTATACACATAATATATACAGTTTTCGATATAAAAAAGGGGATAACAAAATACCGGCACGTGTGATATTTAGAGTAGAACACTATGGCTGTAAAACGCACAATTAATGCACTATGTAGGATTTAAAAGTCATATTTAATTTGTAGATATTAATACCACTGGTTGACGTTGTAATTCTCAACAAATTTAGCATTAGGTAGAAAATAAGTAATAAAATAACATATTAGTGACATCTCCAATGAGTATAAATTTGGATTTCTGATATCTCATAACTTAGTATAAACCACTCCTTGTGAGTAAGCAAATCCGGTTTATTTATTTGATCTGAAGAAATGACTTAAATTAAGTTACGAAATGTTAGAAATAAAAAATTTTGCTGGTTAGGATATAATAAGTATTTTATTAGTCACAATTAATATTTTCCTGATGAAGAAATTGTAAAGACCCGAAGTTTAGAAATGTGCAAAAGCAATTTAATGGTGTGAAATATTGTGAAAGTTTTAGTTTTAGTTTTTTTAAAATAATTATGCACATTGGATTGTTAAATTATTACTAATGAAATTCAGTAGTAGGAATTTAAATTTCTAACTAAAATAAGTTAGAAAAAACCCAGAAATTTTAACTGGCAATAACAGGGATATAATTAGTTCACCACACACATTTAACTAATAAATCTAGAAAGAAATTCTTTCCCACTCACCGTTTTAACTAATTGGTCTTGAATAAGTTTTTTCACTGAATTCACCTTTAAACCTTTATATTTTTCAACCAACATAATCTAATATGTTATCATATTCAAGGAACAAGAATATGTATATTTGAATAAGAATAGCCTACCCCATCGTAAAAACCAACACGATAAACTTTTTCTTTGGCCTCTTGTAATTTATCTCGATCATTTTGACTTTGAATCTTTAACTGATCTACTATTGTGACAGCTGGTAAACTACCTAAACCCGGTGTCTCAATTATGGGTATCTGAAAATTGAAATCATAATATAATTGTTATTTCCGTATAAATTACAAACCGGTTCGAATGGTATGACCATCGAATCAAGAAGATTGTATTTCGTCCGGAATGCCTGTGAATTAAAAATGAAAACAATTGAACAAGAACAATATGGCTCAATTTATTAGAAATCTAAAATTAACGTAATAAAGTGGTGAGGTAATGGTTTGTTCTTACTGTTAATCCTATCAGAAAAATGACGCCGACAAATGTTTCACCAAAACCGGAAATTCTTGTTGTAAAAACTGACTTGCTTGTAAAATTCCACTGGAGAAGAGTGCTAACGTAAACCACAGAAAATCGTGAAACTATCCTCAACACCCATACGCAGAATTCTATCAAAATTTTAATAAACCATATCAGAAAGAAAATATGGAGACGTAGGTAGTTATATAATTATTGGGTCAGTGACCTAGAATCAAGTTTGACAACTGTGATTATGAAAAAACAACCGCAGTAATTGATTACCACGTCCATTGATTACGCCTGCTGTTACAACCGAAATATACAACAATGTCATCTTATATAAATAAACAGGCAGATATTTTATTTGCTTCAAGCATAAAGCTTATGCACTTAAGTATATGGTGGGTTGGATTGTCAGTTACTCATTAACACATAAAAATACGCTTAGGGAGTAATATTTCAAAGGGGATCGAACAGTAAACCTTCACCTGTTTCTGTGAGTTACGAGAAAGTGAGGTAACCTGAAAACCATAATTAAGTAAAAGTTGAGAAAATAAGGAACTGCTTATCAGCATTAAATCACAGAATAAATGATGACTAATCAAGTTGATTTCCAAAATCTCCAGGCTAACGACGAACACTGTTGAAAGCAATTTAACTCATGTATAGCCTTTTTACTCGACTTATGACACAATCTCAATGAAAAGCCATGGCAATGTATATAACAATAACCAAGTAAAAGTTCATTAGCTTGATTTAAGGTCATCACTCTCCTAAGACTTTCGGAGGGATTCAAACCTGCATCTCATTGAACATCGAGTAGTTTAACGTGCTTGTAACAACTTAAGTCATAACAACACACAGTAATGATATGTTATTCATAAGTTATTGATATAATGGGGTAAATATTAAACAGAGCTGAACTTTCGGAACTGTTCTACCTTATGTTATTGTTTAAACTTCTGCCGTACGACACCAGATACTTGAATTATTATATCTTTATATGCCTTCATCTGTAAACTTTTTCGCTAGGTATAAATTGTTATTATGTGCTATACCTTTCTTAAGTTACTGTTAATGTATTACAGACCTATTACTCAGTTTTATTTAAATTACGGAGTAGTTATGTTTACATCGTAATTTCTAAATTATGTTGGTGTGTGACCAAAATTTTACTCTATATTATTGTACGAATTAGTTATAAATCTGAATTTCATAATTAGACGTTATCTACTTGCTGTATTGTATTCTACTATGGATCAACAGTCATGAAATATTATTCTCGGTTTTTGTTTCACATTATCGTATTATTGGTTAGTAGAAGGTCGCTGGTACGATGTAAACATTTTGGGTAAAGCAATCAATATTTAGACCAGGTGATACAGCCGCTCTCCTCTAATTACACCTCGATCGTATAGGCCGCAATATTATTCAAAAACATTTTTATTCTCCATAAAAATTACTAAATGAATTAACAGCATAAAAGGAGCTGCATTCTTAAATAATATGTAATTAATTTAATAGTAAAAATATTTTCGTGATATCTCAATGAGTAGAAAATTGTATTTCTGAAGTTTCATGACCTTTATTTATTTATTTATTTGAACACATGAATATTGGTACACGAGTGCGCCAAATATATATGTGCCACACAAAACAATGAGAATTTAAGAAAAAAAAATTGAGGAACGTAAAAAAATGATGATGATAATAATAATAAATAATAATGTAGAGATTGGTGTAAGGGAGTGTAGTAATAATCATAGTCATAATGGGGGAACGGAAAGGTACAATCAGAACAAATCTTTCAGTTAAGGAAGAAACAACCACTTTTATGAAGAAAGTAAAAGAAGGTTACAGCAGTATCGCCACTGGCTTCTATTCTGAGCCATGTCCGATAACATCTCTAGCCACTGTGTAGCACCATCTCTCGGACCCCAACCAGGGAGTCGTGAACGACCGACAGAAGCCAGTCCTTTGCAGCTTTCTTTCATACCACGACACCATGTCATACACTGACCACCTCTCCGCTTCTTCCAACCAGTCCCAGAGTCGGCAAATAATGCACGACGTGGAACCCTCTGGGACGACATTCGGAGAACACGTCCAAGCCACCGAAGTCGGTGTTTCAAGATGGTGACACCAATTGAATTATCATCTCTGTGCCCGAACACACGATGCCGAACCTCTGCATTACTGACATAGTGTTGCTACTGAATGTCAGCAATCCTTCGGAGACAGCGATGATCGAACACAGAGAGTCGTCTAACGTCCTCAACTCGGAGAGACCAGGTTTCACAAGCATAGAGCAAAACTGCTCTCACCGACGCGTTGTAGATCCGACCTTTTACAGCCAGACTAACATCACGAAGGCGCCAAAGATGGCCCAGATTGGCATAAGCCGCTCTGGCTTTCACTATACATGCATTGATCTCATCACTCACATCCCCACCAGCACTTATGCAGCTACCCAGATACACGAACTTCTCGACTACGTCTATCTGCTCACAATCCAGAGTGAGTACAGGATTAGAATCCTGCCAGTCTTGTAGAAGTACTTTGCACTTCGAAGGTGCAAAGCACATACCATACCTGCGGACACTGATTGCCAACTGATTAAGTGCGGATTGCATGCCTTGGGCATTATCGCACAGTAAGACAATATCGTCCGCATACTCAAGGTCAAGAAGTCTTTCTCCAGGCAACAGATCTACACCACCATTACTTACATCCATCAGAGCTGTTTCCAGAATGTCGTCGATGGCAAAGTTGAAGAGGAATGGTGAGATTGGGCAACCCTGCCTAACCCCACTGCTCGAATGGAACAATGGAGAAAGGTGGTTGTATGCCCTCACTCTACCTGAGGTGTTTGTATATAGGGCTTTTAAGATGTTAATAAATTTCTCAGGCACATCCTTCTTCAATAAACTATCCCAGAGAACAGTCCTATCCAACGAGTCGAAGGCAGCCCTGATGTCAAGAAACACTACGATTGTTGGCCTTTGAAAAGTATGGCGGTGTTCTAACATTTGGCGGAGGGTGAAGATATGATCAATACATCCTCGACCAGAACGAAACCCAGCCTGCTCCTCGCGAGCCAATCTTTCTCAGGTTTTGAACAACCTACGAAGTATGACGGAAGCCAATAGCTTGGACGCAATCGGAAGTAGACTTATCCCCCGATGGTTGTTACAGGAACGACGTGAACCCTTTTTAAAGATAGGGACAACTATCGACTAATTCCATGACGTTGATACACTCTCTAGCTTCCACACCTTTGTAAACAACGTCGTCAATTCCTTAGTCAGAAAGTCACCACCATCTTTAAAAAGAGCCGGAGGTAAGTTATCTGGGCCAGGTGATCTGTAGCGCTTCAAGAGTTGGAGTTCCTTGCGGAATTTCGCCTCATTTGGTGGATCAGTCGTCACCGGCCATGAAGGACAAGACAGTCTGACCGATGCTGCCGGAGCAGCAGGCCAGTTGAACTGCCCTTCGTCCAAGACGTCGATGGATTTTAGTGATTGGCATCCCGTCATCCTCATAGATTGTTTCGCTTACACCAGACTTCTTGCTGCCAGTGGCTCGGATGAGCTGGAAGACCTTCCGGTAGTTACCAGATGCAGCTGCTGCTTCCAGCTCATTAGCACGCATCGACCACCAGGCTTCTCGGTCCTTACGAAAGCTTTGCCTGATTTCCTTACGTAACATCCTTCGTTTGTGGTCAAACTCACGGTCACCCGGAGTAAACCGACAGGCTTCAATGAGTTGTAAGGAACCAGAAGAAACCCAGTGCTTATAAGCCGGACGTTCCGCGAACCCACAACTGACTGTTCCCGCCATTTTCATGGCGTCATGCAATTGCAACCAATGCTCATCTATACTTTTCGGTGGAATGATAGCTAGCCTAGAAACTAGCTCGGTTCGATACTTACTAGCAACAAAAGTTGCAACCAGCTTGCTAACATCAATCCGTTGGTGGCGGTCACTTCGTTGGCCACTGAAAAGGTAAGATTGGCGCAAACCAAAGCATGATCAGAGTCCAGATATGTACTCCAAAAGGAGCGGCAGTCTTGTACACAACCACTCCAGCGGTAGCTAATCGCGATGTGATCAATCTGAGTCCAGGCTTGAGATGCAGAGGGAGGACGCCAGGTGGCACATCGGCGATGACTGTGCCGAAAGTTAGTGCTAGCCAGAAACAGGTTGTGGTCTGTGCACAGTTGCAGTAGACGGTCCCCGTTATCTGTCCTGCGACCAACAAGCCCCCATCGCCCACCTAAACGACTCTCTTCTGTGCCTAGACGCCCGACCTGAGCATTCAAGTCTCCGGCTAGTACTACAATATCTGTCGAACGCACTTTCTGGAGAAGAACAGATAACTGGTGCTAAAACTCATCCTTGATTGCATCCGGGCTGCAATCTGTCGGGGCATAGGCGGAGATGACGAAAAGACATCGTTTCTCATGCCGATTTCTTCTCACTTTGATGGAACTTTCTAATCTAACAGCACATAACCGACTGTTAATGGGGATCCAATCGATTAGTGCTGCCTCAGCTCTAGCGCTTAGTGCGACACCAACGCCAGCAAGACCAGACGAAGACGCCACAGGGTCCCCGGATAAGCGCACGTAAAACAAGCTTTTCGAAGCGACAGATGGAGATCGAATTTGTAGTACTTCGCCAGAGTCTTGAATACGGGCCTCGGATAAACAACAAACATCAATATTAATACTTTCTAAAGACATAACCAGCCCTATCTGTTGTCCGACCTGCATAAATGTGCAAACGTTGAAGGCAGCCGGTTTGAATGGTGCACGTGTTTTCAGAAAAAACTGCTTCAGTCCTCGTACTCGGTGGTAACATACAATTTTCAACCGGACAGTGACTCGAAAACGTTTAGATAGAGTCGAATTTCCACCATAGACGAGCTGCTGTATAAGTTGAAAAAAATAAGTATAGACAGTAGGAATAAAAGAGGGTGAATAACGACGTAGTAAATAATAATAATAATAATAATAATAATAATAATAATAATCGTAATAATAATGTGCACCATTGATTTGGAATCCGGTTAAAGCGCCTGACATTCGCTTTTCGTCCTCTTATTTTCATAAACAACACCCCCGCCACGAGAAGGCAGTGAGTAGGACTTCCCTAGCAGAGGCTGTATACGCGTGGCCATGTGAGAGTATTTCGAGAGGGAGGGCGAACCCACCCCGCTCTCGGCCATACCAGGGCATTTGGGGGCCCTAATGTAAGTCACCTCTTCAGAGTGAATTATACATTGTTATATACTGTTGGGATATTCAGGAAAATATCCCAAAAATTATTCTGTAAAGTCTAACGTTATCCTTGGACTTGAGATGGTGTCATTTTCTTATTGGTTAATATTTATTTCATGTGTCATTTTCCTACTGGTCAATATTGTATAATGTTATTTTCTATTTTGTGGTACGATGTGGTCTGCTTGATTGGTATATAAGCAGAGTGTGTTTGAAATATAACGATTCATATCTTCGAGGCTGAGACTTGTGTTCTAGACTCAACTGGCTGAGCTAGACAGGGAAGCGGGACCAATCAGAACCCTAGGCCGTTCTTACGTGTTTGCGCGTCTTTGGTCCGATCGATAATTCACTGTCCTCTAATCTGCCATCATATACATCAATATAATATGTAAAAGTAACCAAGATTGGATTAAAGCACGTTCCGCGTAGGATTATGCTGGGGCACACTGAATGACTATTTCACCACCAATTAGCGATAATGAACACTCGAGAATCTTCCTATGTAAAAACTATAAATAAGCTAACGTTTTTCATATTGTGCTTCCTACTTCAATCTACTCTTGTTATTTGGAATATAATTTCGTTCCTGTTCAACTGCATTCTGATTCGGGGATTTGTCGAGTGAATTAATTTCCAAGAATACTAAGTGATAGGAGTAGCTGAGTTGTAATAAGGGAAATTATAACATCTATCACAAAACAAAAACGAATGAAAGTGAAACAATATGAAGTTAATCTTACAGGCTTTTTAATTAAGTCTTGCAAAGCGACCCAGTCATCTGGAGAATCGCTAGGAACACTAGTCACAATTCCGGTACCCTTAGAAGATCGAATTGACATCATAGGTAAAACGAAAACTCCAGATTCATAAGAGGATAACGGAGCCTTGACTTTTAATCCGAGAAGATCAGCACCTTTGAAATTTGCGACTATATCGATGTGCCCAGGGTGTGAAGGATCTAAAATACCCTGAAATCAAGTTGCATAACAACAGGTTATTGAATGGAACAGAAAATTCCGACATTTCAAACAAGGAATTAGATGCTAGGACATCAATGAAACTTTGGTCGTAAAAATCAGTTTTAAAGCATAATGTAAGTGGAAAATAATTTGGACAGGCATGTCACCGAGAAAATAATAGATGGGGGTGTAGAATACATAATTAGAACAAAAAAGCAGATAAAAATCGAGAGTATTCTGGTTTTCCTAAAACGAAACAATCTGTAATAAGTTTAAAATTAACGTATCAGCAAGAAAGGTAGCTCATCGGTTAAAGCATCTAACTTCCAATTACTGGTTTGAAGGTTCAAAGCCCATTCCACCAAAATTAAACTGTACGAAATGTTAAGCAATGAGGTAAACACTGAGAACATATGGAGATAATCATAAACAGAACATAATGGAGTTAGATGATACTAACTAAACGAATTAAAAGTAATAGTTTATCTTAGTCGATGTTTTTCCAATCACATCTAAATGACCGGATCCTTCGGACCCTACAAATTATCTAGAACTCATAAAAATGTGGCTCTTAAAGAGTAAGTTGGTTTTGGTTGTTTAACCTTTGCCAATTGGTTGAACACCCATGAACTCCTGTAGGTGAAAAAATTGTTGCGTTTCGACATCAGAACCGCCTTCAATACATCGAGTAAGACTTACCGTTGGTGAACGATATGCTTGAGAAGATAAAGAATTTGAAGCCTCCGTACACACTAAAACCATCCATCCACTCTCCAGCCTCACCAGTGGTGTTAGGCAGTCTTGCGAAATTTCACCATCTCTTTTCAACTTCAGCTCCAATGGCATTCTGGAAACAGCTCCGTGAAAGGCAAGTGATGGTGGTGTGAATCTGTCGCTTGGAGTGTTTTTGATTTTCAGCCCGAGGATGATAATGTCTTACTGTGCGATGATACACAAGCCATCCATATCCACTCAATTAGTAGAAAATCAGTCACTGTTAGTAAGGCATGCTTATTACACTTTCAGAATGCAAAGTATTCTTCCAAGTTTGGTAAGAACCTGCACTTCAGTCATTTTTGTGACGGGCTGGAAATTCCCAAAAAGCGCTTGCATTCAGGTTTTAGCAGATGATATGAGTTTATGGAAACTGGAAACTATAAAACCTCATAGTAATCTAGACCATGTTTTGTGCCGTCGCGACATTAGTTATGAAGTAAAACGTTGGCTATACCACACGTCCGTGAATGCAGTTCTGCTCTACGTTTTGAAACTTGACTCCTCTGAGTTTAAATTGTGTGGGAGCATGCTGTGCTAAATAGTCGATATCTCCAAAAGATTGTTCGCATTTGGTGATAACATCTTGTAAGTAATCCCGGCGTTTAACAATGCATTTTCAGGCACATTGGTAATTCGATCTATAGACACTGAACACGGTGATTTGAGCATACTATATGAATGTCATCCCAACGGCTTTCATACCCCCATTGTTTGACAACGATATGATTGGATTAAAAGAGGCCATCAGTTAATAACATAGATAAGACTAACAGCTTTTGCGACTTTCCAGCTAGGATGCTAAAGATCACGCAAACCTCCGGTTGGGAATATGATCGAGCGTGGAGCGATACACAAACCAGTGATGATCCTGTCGTAATATTTGGTTGCGTTTTACACGAAACTATGGTGGATTCTCCCTCATTAACAAAAACTACTATTGTTTGATTTCCTAAGCGGAGTATCATTTAATAAACACAAACTCAGTCAGTATTCAGTCAACTGATTTGAAGGGAAATTACGAGCACGACACAGAGTTTGAGTTTTTGCTACAACCAATTAGTTTGCATTTATCAATAAAATGACTTGTATCTAGTGCTTTATCAAGTAAAAAACCCATTTATTCCCAACCACATACGCAGAATGGATTAAATACTAATATTATGAGCACTGTAGCCTTGCCAATATCATATTACACTTTAATAATCATTCAATGGCAAAATTGTACGTAAGACAAACCTGATAAGCCATATTTTGAGCAGCGCGTTGAGTACAAATTAGTATACAAGATTGTTGTGTGCTTTTCACTCCGACATAATCTATATCTGGATGTACCCAACAATTAGTTTGGCCAAACATCGTTTCAGGACGTAGAGTTGCCGCAACAAGGAATATGGGTTCTTTTAATTGGTTTACGCAACTAAGGACAAAAATAAGACGAATTTATTCACCGCAAAACGTAAGCGCTCGTAACCACCATGTTTACTTTGGGAATCTATCAACGTTAAATGTTTAACTTTATACAAGTGGGACTGAAGTGCATACAAAATTGTGACGTTATAAACAGTAAACTTTCTTCCTTCAAAATTGAATTGTAGATATTAGAAACTGATATCATCCTCATCCAAGCAGCTCAAATTTCGTAAATACTTGGTTTAATAAATAGTACTTTTAGTTACGTGAACAACTACATGCAACTGACCCAAGTTGTCTAGTTCATTATATTATCTTTTTTACATCATAGATAAGTATCACTCGTTAACATGAGTCTGTAAATAAATTTCATTTTAACTACATTATTTTCAAATATGTGCAAAACATCGTCACTTTTGAAGTGACAATACTATCTTCATAGTCAAAACTTTAGCAAGATGTGAGGCTTATCAAATTTGAACAACTCTACAAGGAGTTTAACATGATATTGAATTGCTTTTAGTTGGGATTACTTTTAGCAACAGATGTTGGAAAAACGTGAAATTTGTGAAAAAGTAACTATCTGTTAGCCTGTGAACGTCTTGATTGACTAACGTGGTTAGAACATAAGTTACTCATGCCTTGCCCGAAGTCAGCTGACACATGAGTAGCTTTGGAAAGAAGTTGAATCAATCAAGACAGTGTCAGTCTACGAAGCCACTAGTTTAGGCAATTTCGAAAGAAGACATCAAGTTGAGGCGGACTCAATAATTCTAATCAGTGGTTGCATGGCTCAGTTATTTTAACGATGAAGATAAGTGACAAGTGGAATATTTGTTCAGAAAATAATGCCCGAAACAGCACTCACCTGAATTTCGAAGGAAATTCGGATATGACTTTCAACTTAATCAACGTATATTCTTGTGGAACGACACCCTTGAATTAAATACAAGTTGGGTTATACCGTACCTTACCTCTCCAACAGTTCGCTCATGATCCATACATGGCTGATTATCTCGAGCAGAGAATATGGTGTATCGTTTGCCATACTGAATTTTTCCTTGCTTCTTAAGAGTCAGGAACTGCCAACGAACAAATGAATCATAGTAGGGATTAGCATCTGTTGTAATAAAGGATCTCCTCCAATCAACCTAACATTAGAAAAATTCAAGAGATCATTTTATCACGAGTTAGTATTCTGCAGTGTAGCCTACTAAACTTATTGAGATAAAATATTATTGTTAACATTATTAGGGCCTTCTGAATGAGAAAATCAACAGACACCATAACTTTGTCTTATTACCGTCGTTGCGTAGCCATCAACATTCACAGACTTAAGGCGACATAAAGGACCAAAAAAAACACCAATTAACGTAAATACTAATGGACGAAACGTCCTTCAAAAAGAAATGAGTAGGAAGACATATTATCTTAAAAATCACGCCGTATTATAGTTCTATATGATTATATGGAGCGTTTCTGTGTTTAATATAGTGTCGTTGAGAACAGTACTAGCAAAGAATATTTCAAATCGCGAACAGAACCCTGATAAACTAGTGTTGTTAGAAACCTCATTAGATTTATTTCCTTGAACTAATAGCACATCTCTTCGATTATAGCCCACACTAAGTATTCCTGTTCCCACAACTGTCACACTGATTCAAAACTAATTAATTCCTACTTCTGGTATTCTACCCGAAAACTAGGGGCGATGAAATGAAGATATAGATCTAGTCTGGTTGGCGTTCACAAGGTCGTGGCGATCAGTAGCTGCAGACTGAAAATGGCATGGGTTACGGTCAGTCAGTCAGCTACAACGTAGGACCAGGCACATATGTGCATCGGTCCAAGTTACCATACCTCATTAACACAACAAGATGAACACCGGATTCATAAAAGTAGTTAGTTCAGAGGTAGTAATATATAAAAGAAAGATTGCAATAGGGATATAGTACAAGAAGAAAGAATTGGTTCGTAGAAAGAAAGATATGAAGCGATTTTAATCTCTTAGTTTAAGGGAAGACAGGGAGTGTATACACCGACGCCATTGTGATCGATTCTGAGCCATGTCTCCAACCATTGGTTACGACAGTCACGCGGACTCCAACCAAGTAGTCTGCATCTACCAACATGGCTAAGACTACAAGTTAGTGACTTCAAGCATTGATGCCACGTTTTGGTTTGGCCGCCTCTAACTTTCTTCCAACCACCTCTAACACCCGTTAGCATTGCACGTCGTGGTAATCGGTGTTCGGGCATACGTAACACGTGACCCAACCATCTCAGTCGATGAAGATTCACAACCTCATCAACTGATTTACCATCATTTCCTAATACCCTGCGTCTAACATCACTATTACTTAACCGGTGATCCCAGCAGATGCCAGAAATATTTCTAAGGCATCTGTGGTCAAATACTAATAGTTTACGAGTGTCTTCTACTCTTAATGGCCATGTTTCGCTGCCGTAAATTAAGACAGGACGGACTGCCGTGCAGTATACTCGTCCTTTTATTGATAGACGGATATCTCGCCTTCGCCACAGGTGACGTAAGTTGGCGAAAGCCAAACGAGCTTTTCGAATCCGTGCTGAGATTTCGTCCGATACCAACCCATCTGGTCTGATCAGACTTCCAAGATAAGTGAAGTTGTCAACGCGTTCGACTACTTCACTCCCTATCCTTAGTTCAGGTGTTGATGCAGACCAGTCCTGAAGCAACAACTTGCATTTAGAAGGAGAGAAGCGCATCCCAAACATTCTGGCATTGTTGCTTAGTGCTAACAAAAGACTGCATTTTGTCAGCGTCTTCACCAAACAGCACTATGTCATCTGCGTATTCTAAGTCGATAAGTGGACCTCCTGGAAGGAGATCAATACCCGAGAATTCAGTCGACGAGAATGTTATTTCCATCAATAGGTCTATGATGAAGTTAAACAAAAATGGAGAAAGTGAACAGCCTTGACGGACACCACTTGAGGTTGCAAAAGTAGATGACAGTTCACCATAAGCTCTGACTCGACTAGTAGTGTTCGAGTAAAGAACCTTCACGAGGTTTATGTACTTCTTGGGTACACCTTTCAATGACAGACACTGCCACAGAATCTCGCGGTCTACCGAGTCAAATGCTGCTTTTAAGTCGAGAAAGACCACCATTGTCGGACGCCGATAAATATGCCTGTGTTCTAGAATCTGACGAATGGTGAATATGTGGTCGATGCAGCCACGACTAGGTCTGAAGCCAGCTTGGTTCTCTCGTGTTTGTAGTTCACGAGTCTTAGTTAGGCGTCCGATAATTATCGAGGCTAGTATTTTAGATGCTATATTAGTTAAACTAATCCCTCTGTGGTTGTCACAGGATGATTTTGACCCTTTCTTATATATTGGGACGATCAGTGATTGTGACCACTCAGATGGGACAACGTCTAACTCCCAGATCTTAGCTAAAATATTAGTCAACCTAATCGCTAAAATTGGACCAACATCTTTAAAGACCTCTGGAGCCAGTCCATCTGGACCAGCTGCCCTTGCTCGTTTCAGATTAACTATAGTCTTTTGAACTTTAGCGAGAGTTGGGGGACCTACTTCAATGTTCCATTCACACTGTCTGGGAATGGAGTTTAGTTGTAGAGTAGCTGAAGGCCAGTTGAACTGTTCTCTAAAATGTTCCGACCATCGTTCTAAACGTCTGGACTGGGAGCAGATGAGAGTATCGTCTTTTCCGAAATAATCTCACTTACACTTGACTTATTAATTCCAGTTTCTTTTATTAGTCTGTAAAGCTGTCTTGTGTTCCCTATAGTCGTCGCCTTTTCCATCTCTTTTGCTTTCGTTACCCACCACTGCTCACGGTCGTTCCTTAGACTTTTTCTTAACCTAGATCTGATTTGTTTTCGCTCTTCATCATGTTCAGAACCTGATGGGACGAGTTTACGAGAATCCATCAGTGTGATAGACTTTGAAGAAATCCACTGGTTCTTTGTAACTCTGTGGTTTAAGTCACTAATAGATGTCACTGCTGTTTCCACAGCTGCTTGTATGCCCTTCCAAGCAACATCTGGGTCAGCCTCGTCTTCAGAACTACCTAATTGTGAACTCAGTTGTTCCTGGAACCTATTTTTGGTTTTCTCGTTACTCAACTCAATTCTAATGGGTCTTTTTAATGTGGCTTTTTGCGTCCGGTGAGGCGCGAGCAGATGCGTGCCCGTATTAGGGTGTGGTCGGAGTCCAAGCAGGTACTCCAGAATGAGCGACAATCTTCTATCGACCCTCTCCAACGATGACTGATGGCAATATAGTCTATTTGAGTCCATCGTTGGTTTGGTGTAGGGGGTCGCCATGTTAGACGATGTCTCTCCTTATGCTTAAAATTTGTGTTTGCTAAAAATAAGCGATTGTCTGAGCACAGTTGCAGCAGACGGTTACCATTATCTGTTCGCTGTGCCGGAATGTTAAAATATCCACCTAAATGCCTTTCTGTTTGGTTTAAGCTACCTATCTGAGCATTAAAGTCACCCCCTACGAGTACTATGTCTGAGCGTTTAGCTTTCTGACGAAGTTCAGAAAGCTTTCCACCATCTCAAAATCATATGAGCTTTCTGTAAAATTCATCTTTCACTTCATCTGAGCTGCAGTCAGTGGGAGCGTAGGCAGAAACGACGAAAAGGCAACGACGTGTGTCCCTATCCTTCCGAGTTCTTACGGAGCCGTTTAGCCGAACAGCACATAGACGACTGTTGACGGGGATCCACTCTAGCAGTGCTTGTTCGGGCCTCTTGCTTAGTGCTATGCCTATACCTGCCAGTCCACGAGAACTTGCCATCGGGTCACCAGATACACGAAGGGTGTATCTCGTTGGCTCTCCGTTTTGCCGAGGTGAGGTCAAGTGAATAACCACACTGGAATCCTGTATGCGTGTTTCGGAGACACAGCATACGTCAATGGTAAGAGACTCTAGGGTTTTAGCCAAGGAAGCCTGCTGATCGATTTGACATAGGGTTCGTACGTTGAAAGCTCCAATGTGTAGTTTGGAGCGAGGTTTCAGTAGACCTGGGACAGTGTTTTGCGCACTAGAATCGTTGGCTATGGTGACACTTGAGGTGGAAGACGAGAGAGGAAATTTAGAGTTGAAAGTCGATGTAGGAGGAATAATAGGAATTGAAGAGGAAGGTTGATTATGAATACAGTGGTCTTGAGTGCTGTTAGAGGTATGAGGGCGGTTTTCACTTCCCGGTTGCCCACACCGTGGAAGGGTTCTTCTGGAGGTACCTGAAAAGGAAATTGGATTAAAGGTGGTCTTAGTGACCTGAGAGCGTGACCGCAGTGCTCAAGGGACAACTGCTTGAGGTCGGTCACACACGACCTTGTTATGGGTAATTTTTGTGTTAGCTCCGTACTTATTGAGACCCTACCGCCGGAGACGGAAATCCGTGAGGTAAGGTGAGGTGTGACATTTTTAGGGTCGACCATTTCTAACCCCACCCCTCCTTGTGGGAAGGCAGCATCGCTGTCATGCTGGTTGTCTGAAGGAAACACCTTACTGCTGTCACACCTCTGTACAGTCAGCAGTACGACTTCGCCTTCGGACCTTGAGTTTGTTGCTTTTAGTCTTACCGCTCTTCAACCGACCTGTCTGACATGGTAGGACCTTGAGGAACGGTTGTTCCAGTCAGTATAGCTCGGTTGCTTCATCACGATAGGCAAGCCCGACCACCACGTCAAGGTAGCAACAACGGTCGGGCAAGGGTTACAACCGTTTACAATAGCGCGGATGCATTCATTCTTTATATTCCAATCTTGAATTATGGTATCCCTTTAAGTATCCCCTTCTACTCACTTCAAACCTGATTTTCAATGCTTAGCCTATTCCATTGTCCTTGCTACTAAATTATTTCAACCTTCTCAGCTGTACATCTTGCTACTCTAACGTCTAGATAATGGGGTATGGCAACTTGCATCAGTCCACACTATTGCTAAGCTCTACGTTGATGACTGGATAGCTGATTTCTTTTAAATGAAGTGTGACGAGTCAGTCAGCTACAACGTAAGACCAGGCACATATGTGCATCTGTCCAAGTTTCCAAGCCTCCTTAGCACAAGATGAACACCGGATTCATAGAAGCAATTAAATCAATGGTGGTAATATATATAAAAAAGATTGCATATGGGGAAGAAAGGATTATTTAGTTGAAAGATATAAAGCAATTTTAATCTCACGGTTTAAGGGAAAACAAAGAGTGTATACACATACGCCATTGTGATCGATTCTGAGCCGTGTCACCTAAAGTCTCCAACCATTTGTAACGATGGTCACACAGACCACAACCGAATAGTCTGCATCCATCAACGTGGCTCAGACCAGAAGTAAATGACTTCAAGGACTGATGCCACGTTTTGGTTTGGCCTCCCCTAACTTGATTCCCACCATCACCAACACTAGTCAGCATTGCACGTCGTGGTAATCGATTGTTGATCATGATTAATACGTGTCCCAACCATCTCAGTCAATGGGGATTCATAACGTCATCAACTGATTTACTATCATTGGCTAATACCCTGCGTCCAACCTCACTACTACTTACCTGGTGATCCCAGAGGATGTGAGCAATATTTTTAAGACATGTTTCCAAATATTAGTAACTTATGAGTATCTTTTACACTACACAACTCGCAGTCGTAAAGTAAAACAACGAACTGCTGATCAGTATACTCGCCCCTTAATTGTGGACGGATATCTCGCCTTCGCCTTAGGTGAAGTGAGTTGGAAAAAGCCAAACGAGCTTTTTGAATCCGTGCAGAGATTTCGTCAGACACCAACCCATTAGGGCTGATCAGTTGGGATATATAATAATGCCTAGTCCTATGTTAACTATTGTCGGCTGTAAGTGGAGCAATTACTCTATGAGTGTGTTCGGCTTTTAACTACTAAAATGCATGTTCAAACCTACTCTGATTTAGACAATGGGGTAATATTATTGGCACCCACACTGGAAGTGTGGGTCCAAGCTATGTAGACTGACCTGTACCTGATGATTTAATTACACTGGCCTTCAGTGTGTAAGACAGTGACTGAAACAGCCAATGTGTGGGATTTCAGACCAGTTTTAGGCACATTATCCCTAATAATTCAATACGCATTGCTTATTACATGTAAGAACTCTCCTCTCATAAAAGCTATGATCGAAATGCTGGCTATTCATCGTGTAGGATAGTTCTCAAGTATATGAAACTGACTAATAAATGAAAAGAGACGAGTCGATAAATCGTATGCGTATTACTAGTCTGACGGAGAATTTGCAATAAATTCGGTTAATAGACCCAGTTAAGGATTAAAACAATCATCATAGTTTGGAAATGAAGATGCATGAACAGCATAAGTAAACTAGTGGTAGATAAACTACCTGAAGAAATAGCAGCATTTAGTGACCGTTGCCCACAGAACATTGTCAATCACGAAGGATCAGATAAATAGATATAGCTGGTAAGTACGGATACCACTGACATACATGAAGTATAGAGAATAAGGTTTATTAAATATAAACACAGCACCAGGGATAAAATAAAGACGGCTGGAGTACATGAAACCCACCTTGACACCTAGTTTACGCAGGTCATCAACAGCTAAAGCAGGGAAAAATTTCAACCAGTATTCAGGGTCTTTAAATTTAGCGATTTCATTGTTATCCATGCCAAGGCTTTCCATTATTTGCCACTGAAACTTTGCGCCACCAGTCTTCGCAATAGCTTTACTTTTTTTGCTTTTACCTTGAGCAGGAGTCTAAATTATTAGGTTATATGTTAAGCATAAGGGCGAGGTTAGTACCACTGTCTCCATACTAGCAGAAAGCTCCGAAGCCTCGTGTGGGAAGACAGGTGGACAACCAAACTCCTTGCATTCTCGTGATAATTTGTCTGCAGATGCTAGGATAGGCGTACCGGTGCAATGAAGACCGAACGGCCATAGAGCCAACTTGCCCTTTAGTCGTTCGTACCCTACGGAAAACTTCGCGCATTCACAAGATAGTTCCGCTTACCTCGCATTTCGATAAAGAAAATGTGTGACCCAAATGTAGTCTCCCATTCATATAGGGGTAAGGGAAAGTGACGAAGTACTTTTCAATTCTAAAACAAATGTCATCAACCGTGAAATGTTACGTTTCACTGTTTTTCAAAGGAACGTCCGCTTCGAATATTTTATTCGACTCCCAAAAAGTCTGCACCTGACCCTCGATCTTGCGAAGCTCATCTAGCTTTGCAGTACCTTTCCGAGTCATGCGAATAAACCTTGAGCTCAAATTTGTGACTAGTATACAATGTTTCAACCTGACCTACACAGATCATTTAAAGTAATTATCAGTCCTGAATTCATTGCATTCAGATCCAATCACTTTTAAAGACGACCTCGAAAAAACCATTTCTACTCACACTGATTATATGTAATCTACCTTATGAATGTGTTTTTAGATGGTTTAAATCGTTGTAAAGTATATTGCTTAAAGGGTTCAATTATCTAGTAGCTGTGGTTAACTGATGATACCATGTATGAACCAAGGTATATTCAACGAGGAAAATAAAAATGCTCTCACGATTTAGGGAACTACTGTCGAGAAAAGTTCCCCTGGTTACATTTTTCTTTTCGGTCAATTAGAGAGATGACGGACCTTGTTTGTATAAATCATTACTAAATACATTGGTACTCAATGGTTGACACAATCCATTTTCGAAAAGAAAATTGTATGTAAGTGGCTGCTGCTGATTTAAAAAGGAAATGATCGTATTGGAACATACCATTCTTGTTTGTTCCTAGATCCGTAAACATCATAGGCCACATGAAACCCCAATAACAATATGCAATGTGCGAAAATTTCTATCCTGTGGATCCCAGTGATTTCCAAAACCCAATCATTGGATACATCTGGCTTGTCTACCGCGTTTTTCAAACAATGTTTCAAATTTGGAACGAGACGCGTACCGCTTGCTTCTGTTTGGAGAAGCTTGGATAAAAATGTTGCTTGAAGAGGCACTCTCCGGAAGTTCGACAACCAACGATCTTCCATATACTTAGCGCCATTTCTATTGTTGAACTGTATCGAAATTATGTGCTGTGGAAGATCCAGTCTAACCTTTTTCGATCAGTTAGGTAAGGCCTTTTTCAAAATGAGGTGTAATGTGCTTGTTGAAATCTTGCAGCCGTGCCTTCACCACTGAGAGGAGTTACACACGTCAGCCTGTCGCGCCGTGCTCTGTGACATCATCTCCTCTGTAACAAAATCAGGCTTCGGTATTATCAGGCCCAAGTGGGGACTTGGTATAATGCTGAAGCCTATCTTCTGTCAACGCCTCTGTGTATTAATTCTATGCTCCTTTGAACTGCCTATATGTGTCGACGTCTCTAGTTCGTTCATAATCCGTTTATCACTACTTTTTAAAGCTGAGCATGAATGCAAGTTGAAAGTAACATTTTGGGACCATTTTGGATCAGACTGGTTTGTACAGCGTAATACATTGTTTAGTAAGAAATACCAGTGGACGGCAATGTCTAGTTGAGGGTGGGCTTATCGGTCCATTTACCGTAGTTTGCCCTATAAAGCTAAAACTTTCAAACGTTTGAAGTTCTCATGTCTGTTGTTTGTAGAATGTCTTCGTTTAGTCTTGTCAATAAACTGAAGTCTGTGGTGGTGGGATAAACTCTTTCTTGGAGAGCCAGGACTGAACGTTTGTCAATCAGGAATTCATCGTTTTTAAATAGGCAACCTTAGCTTGGTGGTGTCTGGCTGTTTTTCCGTCGGGTCCTTTACTGCGCAAGTCCTAATATGCTTAATTCTTCCATGAGGTTGAAGATTAGAGATGCGGCAAACTTGTCTCCCACTTCACATATGTGTTTAGCGAAGTTGGCTTAAGGACGATTGAAGTATATGTATATTAGGATATTAGAGTCTCCGAGATGAATGGTACCGGATAATCCCCCTAGCATTATTTTGTCGTACTCGTTAGCATCAGTTATTTTTTTGTAGATAACTTGAACTTAACATCTTGAGGTGTCAGAGAGTCTTGCCGAGCACCATAAAGATTCATCAAAATTGATAAGCATTTAGGTGTACGCTTGACATGCCACCAAGCACGATAGCAGGTACAGGAATCCCATCCATCCTGTTCTTAGTGTTTTTGTCGTTAAGAAACAAAGATATGATGAGTATTGCCAGCTCACCCTCTGGGATTTCAGATGACCATATTTCAAATGGGTGCTTCCAGCGTTACTTGATTCTCGAAACTCGTCGATGTTGTTCAGTAAACTCTCAATGCTTGTGTATAAGTAGTTAGTACTTCCAATATGAAACGCGTGAAAGCCCTTGTCCCATTTATCTGAATGTGTCTCTTGTGAATGAACAGGCGACCGTGGTATACAGAGCTACTTGAGTGGGTTGTCCCTGTCTCTTCCACGTATTTCTCTTGTTCATGACAATGTAAATTAGAATAGTCAGTTACAATATGCTTTTGTACAGTCCGTATGCATGTGGACCGCGGTTGGTGACCGGCGTCGACGGTCCACTTGTTGAGTCAATGTATGCTTCTGTTACTGCTTTATGAACGTCTAATCCCTTCTGTGAAAGAACGTTCCGCGTTTTCCTTCAGTATGTTCATGATGAGTTTGTAGCGTAAAGTCGAGTCGAGATTAACTATGAACACCGCTACCATGAAAGCACGTGCCAAATGACTCCATAAAATCCCCCGGAAGCCAAATATCAGAAGGCAATTAATGGACCAAGTCGAGATATATTTGCTGGCGATCTCGTGGTATCGAAAGGATACCGAGATCGTGCCAGGATACAAGCTTGGTTACAGAACGTAACCGAATTCGCGCGAAGTCACAATCAAGGTGTAAGAAAAAGAATGGAAGCACAATATAGCTGTCATTAGCACAGTCAAACAAAAGCACATTAAAACAAACACTGGTACAGTTGGTTATAATAATAATTGTTTCTATTAAAACAGTCGTGTTATCGTGATAAATGTGAGTCACTACAAGTTTACCGTCTGAATTTGTTGTATCAGGCGCTATCCTCACATTCCCTCCAGACTTCACTAAATTACTATCAGCACAATATCCCGCGTGTAAGCAGTGCTAATGAATGTTACACAGGGTCTCGAATGATTTGAGTTTTCTTTAGGGTTAACCTAATGTTTTATTCACTTGTGGCTTTGGTTGAGCTTGTTAAATGATACTGTTCTCGCCTCCAGGAACTAGTTTATAAGGTGCCATAATGTGATAAACTCAAATGTTTTTGTGAAATGTGGAATGATAAGCATGAGAAAGTAATATGTGTTCTTCTGTGTGTTAGGAATAGTTGGTGAAACGCAGACTCAATTACTCGTATAACTGCAGTAAGTTACATTATCGCTTTTTTTGTATGACATTCTAAAAGTAATCACAATAAAGATAGCATAGGTATTCGGAGTTTGGTAAGTCGTTTACATTTAAAACCTTTAAAATCAGATCACACCAACCCAGTCGAATCAAAAGTTAGAAATGAAGACGTTCGAATGTGTATTTGGAAAGCTATCGATGAGTCGCGGAGCATTCGGTCCAAGTTGGCTGACGGTGGAAAGAGATGCGTAACACGGCGCACACATTCGAGATCTGGTGAGGATTCTTAACAGACAGTCCTTATTTAGTGGATTTATCTACCGCTACAACATTTACAACCAATATCTACCATTTGATTTCATCAATATTAAGAAGGCTTAACTTGCAATTGATTGATGTAGCTGTTACTTTTGATGAGCTCGTAAATGCTACCTACATTGTTTCTTTTTCTGCTCTGCTAGCCATAGCCTGTGACTGAAGAGTATAAATGTTGTAATGACTTTAGGATGGCAATCTAACTATGTAAAATGTAACGATGAGTGAGCCGTAAAATACTAAGATTCTCTTTTGGATTCCTTGAACTATATTTCGTCTAACTTCTTCGGGCAGTAGTCGTAGCAGGAGCAAAGTATGAACTTGATCGAAATTGTATATTTGACGGAAATCAATTTGTGGTTGCATTTATAAGTTATTTATTACTTATCACCAAACGTTTAGTAAGTCAGAGATTCCGAAAACAAAGTGGGCTGTAATAAGAATGTTATCAAGATCCAGTGCCAACAGTTGCCGCTTGATGTTAGCGGTAAATGGATGAGACTTCTCACGGATTTATTTTGCTTCATTTGTCCCCTTGCACTTCCTTTATTTGGATCAATAGGTAATTTCGCCTATAAGTCAAAAGGCGATTTTTGTTTAATGATCGTGGCATCTGCTCGAGTTGTAAGGGGATGGCGTGGCCTCCCAGCTTACATCGAAGTCACACCTAGAAGTTAACATGGGTTACTCTTTCGCTGTATCCATGCCCTAAGGTTACTTTGGTGACTGTATAGCTAAGACATTACGTTATGACAAAAATGTATTTGTAAGAATAGGCAAACGAACAGAGTTTGACTAATGTCTCATGGGCCAGTCCATGGCTTACAACTAATTGATGCGCGTTTGTTGTCCTTGGAATTGAGGACGGTCGGTAGACGTTCGACATTCAGTGACCCAAAAGCCGAGAGACCTGGATAGGATCCTGTGATATCGTACTGATTCTTCACAAGAACTAAATAAACGCTAAAATAAAGCAACGGTGAGACTACGACTTTATCGACGGAACATTCAGATTCATAACAGTTTTTGGTTTTGGCGCGAAGCTCATCCGATTGACGAAACAGTATGATGGCCGACATCAGTTCGTAATGAAGGCCCTGAATGCAATTTTCAACCTGACCGTTCAATTTAAAACATTTATCATAGTTCCTTGCACTAATATACTACCCTAATTTTACCTCGATAAATGGTTATTCTCAAGGTCACTCAAGGTCATTCCAAGGTTGTCCGTCAGACATTCGGGTTTGTGTGGTAAAGACTGTAGATCGACGGCCTGTTTTTCTTTTCCTAGTGTGATTCTGTGAGTATCTAGTGTTCTCTTGAATGTGTCAATTGAAGGGGCGGACACCAATGCTTCGAGTAACAGGTTCCAAGGTTCGATGACTCTGTGTGAATACCTGTATATATATTCAAGTCATATATATGCCTTGGGTATTTTGTTCGTTCTTGGATTTTCTACTCACCTTTTATGTCCTCTGAGATGTCTCAATCTAGTGGGGGAAAAGAGGGGATGTATCTGGTCCAAAATCATTTCTTAGTATTCTATACATCAAAATCAGATCACCTCTTAACCTGCGATAGGCCAGAGTAAAG